TGGCGCCTACCTTCACTTGTATTGAAATAATGGGGGGTTTAGAGAGCTGAAATGTGATTTTCCGACCCCAGAAACAGAGCTGTGGAATGTAATAGACTCTGTATATACAGAAAAAGGGTTAAAAATAAAAAAAGAAGTCTTTGTATCATTTCCAGCCATGCAACAGTGCCACCGCTCTCACACATAATGCATTGGCAGTCTAAGCTGATTCATTTTTAAATCCCTTAATATGAGCCTGTCTGTCTGCGCAAATGGACTCACTAACTGTCCCATGACACACTCTTCCATGCACACACCTCGCCTCATCGCGCGTGCTGAAGCGAGCATGTAGTGTCTGCTGGCGCGCACTGGCATTTTTATGCATTTGCATGTAATGAGATCATTTGTCACTTCAATTAATGTAGCCCGGGAAAAAAGTATAACAATAATTTTTAATGCCACCTGTCAGTCTTAGCATTCTCATCATTTATTACCGGAGTGTTAAACATTGATTTAGAGTCACACTAATGAATACATTGGGATTCATAGGCGGTTAACATTTTGCCCGAACACCTGACGGTAGCAGAGCGCATGGATGTTATTAATATGTCACATGATTTTCCAGACATGATCCAATCTCTCCGAGACCAAGGCCAAGTTCAATCTTTTCAAAAAATGCAAGTAATTCAGGAGAGTAATGCATCATCAGTGTGTGTGTGCGCACATATGTGACAGGTTATGCTTGTATGGCTCTTTTTCCGCCCAGAGGATCTGCTTTGGATAAACGATGAAGTCATGGGTCACGAGGGGTCATGCGTCTGGATAGGTAGATGTACGACAGGGTTTGGGGATTTTGGTTTCTCCCACCAGCCCTCCCCACTCACCAAACACCCATCTGTCCCGCTGACCAATAGGCAACGGGCTCATTGGATCAGAGCCTCTTGCCAATGCATTGCTAATCCTTATCTGAGCATGCTCACTGACTTAACTGGGGCAGAGGCACGACAAAGGCTGCGACTACTATAACATCCTGTCCAAGCATAAGCTGCTGTAATGTTTTTTAAAAGGTACATCTGCTCGG